CCATATTCATTCATATTCATCCATATTCATTCATATTCATCCATATTCATCCATATTCATCCATATTCATCCATATTCATCCATATTCATCCATATTCATCCATATTCATCCATATTCATCCATATTCAAATAATATTCTATAATAACTATAGTATTTCTTCAGGAGTTCGGAGTTCTTTCATGTTCTAAACCAGTGCTCCGAGGTCAAGAAGAGTTGAGCGAGGATCCCCGGGCTGCCGACACGGCGGAGGATGGTACCACCACGGACAAACAGGAGCGGTCAACGGAGCGGTCAACGGAGCGGTCAACGGGGGCGTCCTAAGGTGAGGAAAAATATAGCTGGGTGATATTGGGCGATCATGTTGGTAAATGGTAGTAAATGTTTGAACATCTTTAGTTGAGGTTTTTTTGTTATTATTTGTTTGTGTTTGAGTTTATGGGATTTGTTTTTTCAAAGTCGCGTGAATATGCCTGGCCCAGCTGGCAGTTGACTCATGGAAATCCCAGCCGCCAACTCAACTGTTTAAGCCTTGGTGGAAGCTATGCCATGAAATGCCATGAAGTGCCAATTTTTCCCATCCATTTGAAGGGATCAATATGTATATATATATATAATTATATATATTATATATAGTGACCAGTGTGCCAAACAGTGTCAAAACGTCCATGGTCGATTTTCACTTTTGATACTTTTGCAAAAGTTCATCATACTGCTACATATCTGTATACCTGTATCTCTACTTGTATACATATCTATGTGGGTATATAGATATAGATACAGATATAATATATATTATATAGATATGAGCATATGTTCAACTAGACTAGCACCTCGCGAAAAGATTCCAAGGGATGCGGGGCCGCCGTTTTCCAGGATGGGATCGATTGGTTCCAGTCGTCACTCGGATGATCTGATGATTCCGGAGCCAGGGATGCGAACAACCACCAGGGATTCAGTGATTCAACTGACCATAACTGACTATTGATGATAAACATGACACATTGTAAATACCCTCTGGTAATTTAACATAGCTATTGAAAATGGCCATAGAAATAGTGAGTTTTCCCATGAAAAATTGTGATTTTCCATAGTTATGTTAAATTACCGGAGGGTAATTGGTGATTTAGTTATTGATATTTATTGGATGATTTTCCAACAGGGATGAAAATCATCATCTATAACAAACTGGAAAATGGTTCTGAACATTGCACATGAAAATAGATGGTTTATGATGATTTATGATGATGTACCTATATCCAATTAATCATTATCCTCTTGTAAACTAAGATAGCTGTGCTGCATCAGGTCATGAAGGGGATATATTCATGTGGATGGCTAATAACTCACCATATATATATGTTCTGGAAATCGGATGAAATAGGAATATCTTCATGGAACAGTAAAGCAATAGTAATGTTCATCCCATCCTCCATTCATATTTACACACACCCCTATATAAATGGTCGCAAATATACATCCAAATATGTGGTTTCATCACCTTTTATGGCAATTTTATGGCGCTACTATGGTTTCTTGTGGCTCTTTAGTATGAAGGGAGCAGTGGATGACCTCGTTGCCATCGGAACGTCCAGCCGTCTAAAAATCCCTGTGCTGTTGATCTACGAAGGAATATATCTCACGAATACAATGTAACAATAATTATGCAAGAAAACACTCTACATACTAATACTGGTTGGTGGTTTGGAACATTTTTTATTTTTCCATATATTGGGAATAATGATCCCAACTGACTAATATTTTTCAGAGGGGGTGAAACCACCAACCAGATAGTGTAACAAAAACTATGCAAAAAAACACTCTACATACTAATACTGGTTGGTGGTTTGGAACATTTTTATGACTTTCCATATATTGGGAATAATGATCCCAACTGACTAATATTTTTCAGAGGGGTGGCTCAACCACCAACCAGATAATGTAGCAAAAACTATGCAAAAAAACACTCTACATTCTAATATGTACACATTAAATATCCACCCATATATTCCAGCTGTAAGTTAACACATAAATGCCCATGTGTTGCCCACGTTGATCCTTTTTGTCGCCCCTAAAAAAAAAAACGGATCGGCGGCTTCGCCAGATCCATGGCCGACACTAGGCTGAAAGAAGAAGACGAAGAAGAAGATGCTGCAATCGTTCGGGCCTCGATTTTCGCAACATTTTGGATGCTGAGGATTGAGAAAAACCTGGAGAATGCTGGGTAAATGGTTTGATTTTCAGCTATTATCCCCTCGATTTCAGCATTTTCTGGCGAACGGAAGGTATCCTGGCGATGGGGGGCCCTTCAGAGTCCTATCTTCCAAAGATGCATTGTTTGCCAACCTTGGTATAGGCAATGATTTGCTGAATAATCGGTTCAGTGTCGTGTGTGTAACACATGTAGCAACATACAGGGTATGTGTTTGGATGGATCAATAGATCAAACGTTACCTCTGAACTTCTCAGATTCCCCATTGCCATTTCCTACGAGCAAATTCGTTTGCAGGGTCCAACCTTTTTTTTAATGGTCGGGTACGCAGAGAATGGTCCAAATCAAAGCAAGTGTTGACCAATCTTCAGTTCCCCACATGGATTGGGTTTATCAGCATTTTTTGGTGTGTTCTCTCCACATTTGTATATACCCCTTTTTGTTGCTTAGTGTGTCTTAGTACATGCGTTGTTAGGCTAATTTCATCTAATATCCCATATATATATATATCCCATTAATCCATTATATCGCCATATATCAATATAATAACCATTTTGTTGATAATATTGATACACCAGGCTTGTTAAACGTCCTAATTTTCACCTCACCCAACAAAGTACTGGGAATATTTAATTTCCAACAGATACGGTCATCCAAGAGAAGCAGCGGATCATCTTGTTGGTTATACCGGTTATATCCGAAAATATCCCTAGTATATATCATTACATCCCAATTACATGATGATATCCTCATTTTGCATCACTATATTTTCATGAGAAAATCTCTACATCCCATTTACATGAGTATATAGATCATGTTATTTTATTTTACATCATAATATATCTCTACATCCCATTTACATCATTATCTCATTTTATATTTTACATATGTTTACATTAAACAATCACTATATTCAATGGATTGGATTAAGGGAAAATTTACAGGAAAGCCCCATATTTAATGGGAAAATCTATGGTTTCCTGTAAATTTTCCCTTAAACCAATCCATTGATATATCCTTGGTTTTTCGGTTGGTGAAATATCCGAACTCCTCCAAAAGCCAGGCTCAGGGCGTTCCGAACGAGGAATGATCCAAGGCGAAGGGAAATCTCCGACAGCGATACCCGGGGGGGTTAAACGTACGTTTAAAGGTCAAAGTTTGTGAGATGTGAATAGAATTCTATGAAATTCTATGAAATTCTATGAAATTCTGGGTTAGTGGATGTCTAAGTGGATTTTGAAGGTCAAAGGAGTCAAAGTTTTCAACAAACTCATGGAGATGATGAAGCACATGGCCAAATCGAATCTTGGTGACCTCGAAGTGAGGAAATTGTTCTCTGCTTCTGGCATCACCTGGCTGTGCGCCGGTGGACTGCCAAATTTTCAAAGCATGGATCAAAACTGGGGCATGATGAGTGGATATGGGTGGGAAAAAACACGGAAAACCGTGTATTTTAATATATTTTAATATAGTTTAATATATTTTAATGCACTATCCAGGACTATCCAGTGGTTAGGAGGAAGCGATTCGGAGCTAGGGGTATCCCTATTCCCCATTAAATAAGAAACCAAGGAGCCCAAGGAACCACTAAGAGTTTCACAATCCCTATGATAGTACATATTGTTTTCTGTTCAGAACTGGGAATATGTCCTGACCAGGTACCTTTGTAGCGCATCTTTATAACATTGACCGTATTGACCATGGCGGGTGGAATGCTGCACTTGCAGGTGACAAGTTGAAGTCTGGGTAAACCGGCTCGTAGAGGGTAGTTTCATGTAAGAAATCAAGATGTAAATGCAATACCCAGCATTACCCAGCTCTTTTTTTGCTGGGTATCAAAGATTAGCCATCGGGTGAGTGCATGTTCGAAAGGTACAACCCATCAACGATTTTCGCACTAATCATAATAATCTACCATAACCTACCCGGAAACTGTAAGGTGATTCCCAGAATCAGAAGTTCGATTCACTGCTAGACCCATCATATTCCAGCAAAGCCCTAGTTTCGATCCGTGCCCGCTGGAATATTCCTTTGGCGCACCTGAGTCCTTTGCTGCTCAGCCTGCGTCCGTGGTTCCGAGGAAATTGGGATCACCAAAGGGATCAGAGCTGGTTAGCACGGTAATCAAAGGACGGCAATGGGAAATCCCCTACAATCCCCTATAAATCCAGGTTTCAGTGGGACAAACATGTTTGATTGCCGGAGGGAAACTATGGTAAATCATTAGCTATTATTGATACCTATTACATTCCTATTACCACAGTCTTATGGCAACATCAGATAACCTCATAGCTGATTATATCATGGATAATATCATGGATTATATCATGGTTGAAGAACATGACAGCATGCCGTCGAGGAAACCCCACACATGGGATAACCCATGATAACCCCAGTGGTATAGAAATTATCGGTAACCACAGAAGCCAACTGGATGATGCTCCTGCGTACAAGACCTCGGAAGCACAGGTCTCTTGGACGGACGGTCCAAAAAAAGAATCGTTTCACTTCCAGAATTTGAAGCATTTGGATGGTTGGGAACCCTCCACACGGCCGTTGATACATTGCATTCGTAGCGAAAGCAAGCCGGCTTGCTGTAAGAGGATTTGGGTTGGGGCAAAATGTTACAAGGCCAAACTGTTGTAACCAATGGTCGCAGCTCTTAAAAGAGGAGTAGTTTCAAGGGTACTTGCATTCATAATGTTTTTTTTCCATCAGACGTGCCGTGACGGAATGTATGGTGTGATTCATACTGCTGCGCCGATGATTCTGGTCCCCAGACACCGGATGATGATACATGATGCCAGCTGATCCTTTGATGTACAACATTGTACAACCATGAAACGCAAGCCGTCACCCTCAGTCAAAAGTTCTACTTGATACCATACAGCCTTTTTTTTTTAGTTCCCCCGGTGGCACCGTCGTAGGTGGCATGGGCCATGGCTGGCTGGACTGCATTCCTGATGACTGGTTTTTACAGTGTAGTTGGTTCTAATGAAATGCCCGAAAAACAGATGGTACTTATATAGTTTACTTGAGGTTCCATGAAAAGAAATGTGGTTTTACCAAGCCAGTATGCCTTTATGAGATTCCATTGGTCGATGTGTATAGAATATATATATATTATATATATAATATATATTATATTATATTATATTATATTATATTATATATATATGATCTGTATTTTTTTCCGTCCTACTCATTCCCATCCTTGCCTTTGAGCAGGCCATGAGGGCCCCCCCCACCGCCTGCTTTGATAGCTCGGCACGAAAACCGTACCGTTCAGCTGTCGACACATATCAATCCATGGGTCTCCAAAAGGGTGTTGCACTGCAGGAAAATGTGGACAAAAACCGCATCTCTCAACTATAGTTGAGATCATTACCCTTTTGCTCCATGTATGGTATATTTACCTGTATTTACCTACATTTGGGTGATTTTTAGGGCAAATGTTGGTAAATATTCCATACATTGAGCATATGGGTTATAGGCTAGGGTTTAATGCAAGAAATTAAGAGTTGGCGTTTGACCAGCAACATATGCGGCTCAGCAACTTCAGGAATTATTATAATTATATGGAATTATGGGAATCAACCATCAGGGTTTTGGGTAATTACACTCATTGCTGAAAGGCAGGTAAACTGTGGTAAAATTGTGATCATGTTTAGCTCCAACATGATGAACCTGGCGACCAGATGGAACAAAGTGGCTGGTACCTTTTGGGAACTAAAACAAGTTTTGTTTGAGGACAATCGAATCATTTTGAACCATCAACAGCCCACTGGTGGTTTCAAAGCTGCTATGCCTTTTCCCAATTGGATGATTATTCTGATTGGGTCAGATCTGACACCTCTTGCTTTGTTACTCAATGCGTCCAAAGGCCTGTTTAAAAAAAAAAAACATGAGGTATGCGTCTTGTTAGATCCCAATTTGTTGGCGAATCACGCAGAAACGGGTCAACTGGCAAGTTGTGGTTTCTGGAGATCCCTTATTTTGAGGTGATGGTTTTCGTGTGTAGATGGTCCTCCATGGTATTCCAACCACCCCAAAACTCCAGTCGTCGATCATCACTTTCTATTTTCCATGAGTTTCCATCAGTTTCTATCATTCTCCCCTTAGAAACTCTTCAAATGTCCCACTGTCCCAACAAAACATCCGTGAACATATACAGAAACCATGGTAAACATGGCAATTTATATAATGACCATATTTCTTGTGGTAAATCCATAGAAAAAATCCATAGATATCCATAGATAACGCTAGGTACCTCCTTAAAGAATCGCTTCCACCGTTGCATCGCCGCGCCCGAAAAACGACGAAAAACGACGGCAGGTGGAGATCTACTTGACCTTGGACCATCCCCATGTGGCGCGCTTGTTGAAGGTCTACGAGGATGAGCAGGTGCGAAAAGTGAGCTGAATTTGTGATGAGTGACATATGTGCCATGTTTTTTTTAATCCCCAGAAACAGAAAAACCAGGGTGTATACTTTGCTTATGTAACTTATGTATATACAGTATAAGTTAGACAGGTTGTAAGATGTTAAAAGATGAAAAATAAGATGCTACAAGTATTCTAGAAGTCTATTATTAAGGAATGAAGCCATCAATTGCCAATAGATGTCCTGCTGGTTGATGAATCGAGCGTGTAGGAAATTCACCTCGTCATGGAATACATGGCCGGTGGTGAGTTGTACGACCGCTTGTTCCAGCAACGGGTCTACAAAGAGGACGCAGCTACGCTGGGAGGGATGAGGCCAGACAATGGGGTGTACCCCCCGAAAATGATGTCAAACTCCAGATGGAATGGCTACTACTAGTAGCCGATTTTCACATAAATCCATTGAGTGTGAAGGATTATTGATAAAACTGAATGACATGAGGTCCTTTGGGTATTGTTGAGGACTTCTCGCAGCCAGAGGCAATTTGAAGTTGTAGACTTTAGACTTGAGTATGTCACTCCGTTTCCTTTAGCTGTGAAGACACATACGTTTCAATTTCGGATACCCGAGAAGGGGAACATGCATGCCAAAACCTGGGCCGGCAGCGATTGGCCCCTGGCTTAAAAAGCTCCGAAGGGCTTCAAACAACAAACACAGCCTTGCCATGATTGGTCAACCCCCCTTTTATGTCTCCCTTCTATCCTGAAACTGAGTTCGTGGGACTCAGCTGGGCAGTCATCCCGCCACTGTGGAGCTGATCTATATGTAGCTCTCTTGAAGTGCTATTTGATGTCATGAATATATCATGAATATATCATGAATATATATATATATGAATATATATGAATATATATGAATATATATATAGTTGAATATATATTTATATATATTTGAATATCCGTTTCCCACTGATAGGTCTGTTTGCCGAGGTCGACCACTTTTCCGCAACCCTTCTGGGTACATCAAAAAGGTCACTGCCCAAAGCGACCCTTCTACTGTATTCTTTGGTGATGAATACGAGTATGGAGTGAAAATTAGGGTACAGAATATGACAGAACCCAATAATGGATGGGTAGTCCCTTACGTCTAAATCTTTGACCCATACCAACTAGAGTGTGGCTTGACATCGTTGACCCAAAAATTAGATGCTTTATGACAGTTGAGATATTTTGAGCCCATGTTTAGTCCAATTTCGCTTTATTCGACCTTAGACGTTATTAATTGTGATTAGATGTTATTAGTCTATTGCTTCCATATATATATATACATTGTATGTGTATATATATATAGTGTATAAATATATATATATAGTATATATAAGTGTATATATATATATATTATATAGTCTATACATATGGTTTCAGAATGATTTCATGCCCAGCCGATTTTTTCTGGTAAGGAGATGGCTGCCAAGACGGCGAAGCAAATGCTGTTGGCCGCCAGGGGGCCTGGCTCGGCATGGCGAAAAACAGGTCGTTTTCGCAGGTCGTTGTGCTTCACAAATGGTCGTTTCCGATGGGAAGTTAGGGATAAACCATGGTAAAATTTATGATAGACCATGATAAACCATGATAATCCATTAGATTTATATAGAATCTTAAAATCATTCTAAACCATGGAAAACCATTAGATGTATATAAACCATGGTAAACCAGTCACATAGATTTAGGTCATGATTTAGATTTATGACAAAAATCCTGAGGAAAATGATCGGATCCACATGGTGACCATGGTGCAGTGTGTGTTGTTCATCTTTGTTCAATGTCGTTTTGCCGGAGGGTATGTCATTTATGCTAATAGTTACGCAGTAAAGAAGAGCTCACCCACGGATTTTTTTTTTGAGAAATAGAATGAGATGTATATGTTCCAAGAAGTTGTGAATCCAGTGCCTACTGGATAGTCCAATCTCGCAGGTCAATTCTTCCAAGCAATCTTTGGAGAAAGCTTAAAAGTGGTTTAGTCCATGTCAAGGCCTTGAGCGGTATGATTTCCGTATCTCAGCCAGGCTTTTCTGGCGATGCTCGTTCCGACCCTGCGCGACTCAGGTTGCTTATCTCCACTCGCATCAAATTGCTCATCGCGACCTCAAGCTGGAGAACTTTTTATACGAACGCCAGGACCGCGAATAAAAAACCTTGAAAAGTTGCCATCCATGTCAGTTTGGACAGTCGATATCATTCTTCAAAAGAAACATGGGTTTGTCTTGAGCCTTGGGTGGATACCCCCCGATGACCTGTTGGATTTCATGGTATCCTGTTTTCAGAGAAGCTATACCTGATTGACTTGTTTCTCCATTCATGGGAATGTAATTCAACAACATTCAACAACTATCAACCCAAAAGTTTGGGCATTCACTAACCTTGCTTGTTTTATGCTGTTTCAAATCGATTGTTTCACCAACCTTTTTTCCCAACAAAAATGAATGGTGCTCCTGTGCTGTACACCCAAAACAACCACCTCTGCTGAAACATCTCGTGGCTCAGGCAAGACGACCAAGCCGTCAATGTTTGAAAGCATGTGAAAGCCAAATAAAATCAAGAAACCAAGCTTTTTGTTGCATATACATATAATATCATATAATATATCGCTTCAGTCACGCAAGCTTCATGATTTATTACCTGTACTATCCAATTTGCTGTACCATAAATGTGCGCAAGCTCGCTTTACCAATTTTCCCATTCTGGATTTGCTGAGTCGATCGGGAAAGCAGTTTTGAAAACAGCCCAGATATCCCAAAAAAAATACAAAAAACAGAGAATTTCATGAAGCCAAAGCATTGTAAAGCCTGTAGTTCCCGAAATCTTTCATGAAATTTAGACATGTTTTGAATTATTTGCAATTGTAGATATCTGTTGTCGATTTTCCACGATGTTCCATTTTCCTATATCATGTTATGTGAATTGACCACAATGAAGCCATGTTTCAATTCCACAGGACAACGACCATTTGAAGCTGATCGATTTCGGCTTCGCGAAGTTCTGGGATCGAAGTCGAAACATGACACAGGCAGGGCAGGGAGGGGCGGGGGTTGTGGGGGCGGCAGATTCTGGGTACCTGAAAATTGGAAAATCCCATGCTGTAGAGAAGATGATTTTAAACAAAATAGAGGATATGCCATACATTCGGATATCCAGAAATCTCATAGAAATTCGTTTCTGACTCGTGTTCCATTAGGTGTGACTGACCTAAAAAAATGATAGAAAGCGGTTGGGTTTACCACATTCAAATTGTGCTTCAGCTACTGTAGCAAACGTAGAATTGATAGTTTCAAATTTTCCCTACGAAGTTATATGAATTAGCCATGTATGAGTGATTCCCCCTTGATTTACGCACAAAACCCCCATTTTCAGGGGGATTTCCCACCTTCAAAGCCCCAGCGCTGAGGCATGTGGCTCCACTCATTATGTGGCGCCGGAGGCCAGGGGTCCCCATGGATCTCCCATGGCGCGGATTGGATTTTGGGGTAAAGCAGATGGGATTTTGGGCGTTGCCAAATTTTCAAAAAATAACACTATCACCACAGGATGGTGCCCCCCAGTTATAAGTTGGTTTATAAACCCCATTACTATAGCCGACCGGCAGTTAGAATATGATCCAAAGGAATCCATGGATATGGATTGACGTCCAGATAATAGCATCCATACCAATTTCGTCCCCGGGGAAAATGCAGTTAGAATTCCAAAAATACAACAATAGTTAGAATATAAATAAGCAACATATATATATATATGTATGTATATATATATGTATGTATATATATATTGTACAGTATAGGATTATACACAAAATGAATGAACATTTTAGCATCGGCCGGTATGTGTCAGAAACCTCATGCATTTGAAGGTTAGTTTGTACAATATCACTAGTTTGCAATGTGGCTGGGAGAAACTGATGCAGATAGAATATAGAAACTAACCATAAGAAACATCTATCAGTCTCAATGTTTTGCAGATAAACAACTATATGAACAATTATGATAAACGACCAATATATAACAAATGTATTTTCCGAAGAAAAAAACACATTTGGATGCAACCCATCCATCAACACGTGTGCACTTTCGGGTGTGTGCGCATGATGCAACGCACAGTACCGGACGCGCACACACAGAGTAACCTGATACATATGAACAATAGTTTGTCCAATATCACTGGTTTGCACGAAGGTTGGACGAAAGTCATGCAGTTAGAATATGGGAATGAATGCAGGTTCGCAGTTCGCACCATCTCACTGCCATACTTCAAGCAGGCAATTGCAACCAAACAACCTGACAGTATACAAACTGAGACAATGCAACCCATGTGCCCATGTGGTGCAACCCAAACATCAACACGTATTTGTTCAATACCACTGGTTTGCACGAAGGTTGGAAGAAAAACATGCACTTAGAATATGGGAAGTAATGCAGGTGCGCACCATCTCACAGCTTTATTTTTAAGCAGGCAGTTACAACCAAACAACCTGCCAGTATGCAAATTGTATCAAATTGCAACTATGCAACCCATGTGGTCCAACCCAAACATACACACTAGTTTGTCCAATACCATTAGTTTGCAAAAGGTTGGAAGACAATCATGCAGGTGGGATGCGGGTAATAATGGAGGTTCATACCATTTCACTGCTATACTTCAAGCAGGCAGATACAACGAAACAACCTACCGCTATTCAAACTGTGACAATGCAACCCATGTGGTGTAACCCAAACATCAACACGTATTTGTTCAGTACCACTGGTTTGCACGAAGGTTGGAAGAAAATTCATGCAGTTAGAATATGGGAATGAATGCAGGTGCGCACCATCTCACAGCTTTTTTTTTAAGCAGGCAGTTACAACCAAACAACCTGCCAGTATGCAAATTGTATCAAGTTGTGACAATTCAACCCATGTGGTCCAACCCAAACATACACACTAGTTTGTCCAATACCATTAGGTTGCAAAAGGTTGGAAGACAATCATGCAGGTGGGATGCGGGTAATTATGTGGTTCATACCATTTCACTGCTATACTTTAAGCAGGCAGATACAACGAAACAACCTACCGCTATTCAAACTGTGACAATGCAACCCATGTGGTGTAACCCAAACATCAACACGTATTTGTTTAATAGCACTGGTTTGCACGAAGGTTGGAAGAAGTTCACGCAGTTAGAATATGGGAATGAATGCAGGTGCGCACCATCTCACAGCTTTTTTTTAAGCAGGCAGTTACAACCAAACAACCTGCCAGTATGCAAATTGTATCAAATTGCGACAATGCAACCCATGTGGTCCAACCCAAACATACACACTAGTTTGTCCAATACCATTAGTTTGCAAAAGGTGGGAAGACAATCATGCAGGTGGAATGCGGGTAATAATGGAGGTTCATACCATTTCACTGCTATACTTCAAGCAGGCAGATACAACGAAACAACCTACCGCTATTCAAACTGTGACAATGCAACCCATGTGGTGTAACCCCAACATCAACACGTATTTGTTCAGTACCACTGGTTTGCACGAAGGTTGGAAGAAATTCATGCAGTTAGAATATGGGAATGAATGCAGGTGCGCACCATCTCACAGCTTTATTTTTAAGCAGGCAGTTACAACCAAACAACCTGCCAGTATACAAGTTGTGCGAAACTGTGCCAACACAACCCATGTGGAGCAACCCAAATATCAACATTGCTTGTCCAATACTACGGGTTTGCATCAAGGTTGGAAGAAAGTCATGCAGTTAGAATATGGGAATTGATGCAGGTTCGCTCCATCTCACTGCTATACTTTAAGCAAGCAATTGCAACCTAACAACCTACAAGTACCAGTATACAAACTGTGACAATGCAACCCATGTGGTGCACCCAAACATCAACCTTTGCTTGTCCAATACTACTGGTTTGCATCAAGGTTGGAAGAAAGTCATGCAGTTAGAATATGGGAATTGATGCAGGTTCGCTCCATCTCACTGCCATACTTCAAGCAGGCAATTGCAACCAAACAACCTGACAGTATACAAACTGTGACAATGCAACCCATGTGCCCATGTGGTGCAACCCAAACATCAGCACGTATTTGTTCAATACCACTGGTTTGCACGAAGGTTGGGAGAAAAACGTGCAATTAGAATATGGGAATGAATGCAGGTTCGCACCATCTCACAACTTTATTTCTAAGCAAGCAATTTCCTCCAAACAACCTGCCAGTATACAAGTTGTGCGAAACTGTGCCAACGCAACCCGTGGAGCAACCCAAATATCAACAGTGCTTGTCCAATACTACGGGTTTGCATCAAGGTTGGAAGAAAGTCATGCAGTTAGAATATGGGAATTGATGCAGGTTCGCTCCATCTCACTGCTATACTTTAAGGTTGCAATGCCATACTTCAAGCAGGCAATTGCAACCAAACAACCTGACAGCATACAAACTGAGACAATGAAACCCATGTGGTGCAACCCAAACATCAGCACGTATTTGTTCAATACCACTGGTTTGCACGAAGGTTGGGAGAAAAACGTGCAATTAGAATATGGGAAGTAATGCAGGTTCGCACCATCTCACAACTTTGTTTCTAAGCAGGCAATTTCAACCAAACAACCTGCCAGTATACAAGTTGTGCGACACTGTGCCAACGCAACCCATGTGGAGCAACCCAGATATCAACATTGCTTATCCAATACTACGGGTTTGCATCAAGGTTGGAAGAAAGTCATGCAGTTAGAATATTGGAATTGATGCAGGTTCGCTCCATCTCACTGCTATACTTCAAGCAGGCATTTGCAACCAAACAACCTGACAGTATACAAACTGAGACTATGCAACCCATGTGGTGCAACCCAAACATCAGCACGTATTTGTTCAATACCACTGGTTTGCACGAAGGTTGGGAGAAAAACATGCAGTTAGAATATGGGAATGAATGCAGGTTCGCACCATCTCACAACTTTATTTCTAAGCAGGCAAATTCAACCAAACAACCTGCCAGTATACAAGTTGTGCGAAACTGTGCCAACGCAACCCATGTGGAGCAACCCAAATATCAACATTGCTTGTCCAATACTACGGGTTTGCATCAAGGTTGGAAGAAAGTCATGCAGTTAGAATATGGGAATTGATGCAGGTTCGCTCCATCTCACTGCCTTAAGCAGGCATTTGCAACCAAACAACCTGACAGTATACAAACTGTGACAATGCAACCCATGTGGTGAAACCCAAACATCAACATTTGCTTGTCCAATACTACGGGTTTGCATCAAGGTTGGAAGAAAGTCATGCAGTTAGAATATGGGAATTGATGCAGGTTCGCTCCATCTCACTGCCATACTTCAAGCAGGCAATTGCAACCTAACAACCTACAAGTACCAGTATACAAACTGTGACAATGCAACACATGTGGTGAAACCCAAACATCAACATTTGCTTGTCCAATACTACGTGTTTTCATCAAGGTTGGAAGAAAGTCATGCAGTTAGAATATGGGAATTGATGCAGGTTCGCTCCATATCACTGCTTGACTTTAAGCAAGCAATTGCAACCTAACAACCTACAAGTACCAGTATACAAACTGTGACAATGCAACCCATGTGGTGAAACCCTAACATCAGCATTTGCTTGTCCAATACTACGGGTTTGCATCAAGGTTGGAAGAAAGTCATGCAGTTAGAATATGGGAATTGATGCAGGTTCGCTCCATCTCACTGCCATACTTCAAGCAGGCAATTGCAACCAAACAACCTGACAGTATACAAACTGAGACAATGCAACCCATGTGCCCATGTGGTGCAACCCGAACATCAGCACGTATTTGTTCAATACCACTGGTTTGCACGAAGGTTGGGAGAAAAACGTGCACTTAGAATATGGGAAGTAATGCAGGTGCGCACCATCTCACAACTTTATTTCTAAGCAGGCAATTTCAACCAAACAACCTGCCAGTATACAAGTTGTGCGAAGTGCGAAGCTGTGCCAACGCAACTCATGTGGAGCAACCCAAACATCAACATTTGCTTGTCCAATACTACGGGTTTGCATCAAGGTTGGAAGAAAGTCATGCAGTTAGAATATGGGAATTGATGCAGGTTCGCTCCATCTCACTGCCATACTTCAAGCAGCCAATTGCAACCAAACAACCTGACAGTATACAAACTGAGACTATGCAACCCATGTGGTGCAACCCACACATCAGCACGTATTTGTTCAATACCACTGGTTTGCACGAAGGTTGGGAGCAAAACATAAATAAGCTTTTACACACAGCAACTTTTACACAACAAATCATTGAATTTATTCAATCCCAATGGTTATTGTTATGGTTTACCGTATCAGTATGCCTTGGCTGTGCACTTTGGAGTGCGTGCACACGATGCAATGCACAGTACAATATGGGGCAATACACTACACGCATTGTACAGCACATCATGAAATCAAAGGCATCGATCGCAGGAAGAAAAATACTCTAAACAACTGGAAGGGAAGTCGGTGAACAAGGTTTTGGATGGTTCGGGATATTCTAACTGCAGTTGGTTTTTCCAAAATCCCATATTCTAACTATAAGATTTTTTTATGATTTTAGCAAATTCTATCTATTTTACAAAAAAATCCACATTCTAACTGCCAGTCGGTTCCTGTAACTATAGTTATATCTACCATAAACCATAGTTATGGGAGTTATAAACCAACTTAGCTAACTATGGGGCACCACCTTGCAAGTAATTTCAATGTGTTTTTCGATTTTTTTCCAGTACCTGAATCCTTTCATGGCTATATGAACTAGGTTGGGAAATCCGCCCACACCGCTTTGGCGGTGAAGGCGTGCTTATTGGGGGGCAACAGCAACACTAAATGCTCAATGACATTTGTTAATATAGCAGTCGCTATATCAGCTTTAGCTGGGGGGGGGGCAAAAACGGTTTCGCACCGAGACCAGACCCCAAAAACGGTTTCGCACCGAGACCAGAATACGGTGGTGTTTTCGACATTTTTCGAGGATTTTTGGGTGTCTGAGCGCAAGAGGGTATTGAAATGGAATTTTGGGTCATTTTGGTAGCCTTCCGGCAATGGAAAAACGGCCAAAAATGAAAAAAACATTGTACATAGCAAGATTTTGCAGGGTTTTTGGATGCCAGAGCATTGAAAACACTGCAAAAACAAGTGTTTTGGACTGACGTTATAGCAAAAAACGTGTAAATTACCGTATGCTTGACTGGAAACCTTACAAAAACACTGTCAAAAGCAATGTTTTGGAAGGATTTACTGCCTTTATGGCAAAAAACGTGTAAATTACCGTCTGTTTGACTGGAAACATTGGAAAAACACTGTCAAAAACAATGTTTTGGAAGGATTTCTTATTGAAACTTCTTAGCTTGAAGAGCCCCCACGGGGGAAAACCACCCTTAGCCCTTCTCACGGACCGAAATAAACCTGCGGTGTGGGCGGCTACCCCACGCGAAGCGGGGTGAATATCGATCTCCCATAGGTTGGGAACTGCCCTGGCATGCTATTAGCTGTTATCAGCCCAAGGTCCTTGGGAACTCCTACACCTTGAAAGCGGACCTATGGTCCTTGGGCGTTATCAGCTACATGCTCCTCACCGGGTCTGCGGCCTCAGAGAATTCGGATGACTGAAATACGGTGAAAAGATATGGAACAAGTGACTAACAAGTGCAAGAAGAACTCTCAAAATATTCAAAAGTATTGTAAACATAGATTTCTAGACCATCCAGACCGCGGGGGCCCAAATGACTGCTTCGTATCGTTTTTTTGGTGCCGCATCGCCCAAGGTCAACGTTGACCCATGGGGAAAAAAACGCAGAGTGGGATTTGGAGCTTTCCTAGAGGGGTACCCCCAAATCATCCATTTTCATGAGATTCTCCACTATAAACCATCCTTAAATTGGGAGTACCCCCATTTATGAAACCCTCCATTTATGGATTTTCTGTGATTTTCTGGGACGGGCCCCAAGGAGTCCGCCCTTCCATGGGCCCGACAAAGAAGTGCTGGCAAAGATTAGGCAGGGGTTTTGGGGCCTCTGGGAGAGGATTTGCAACCTGCAATCTGGCTAACTTGGAAGTATAGTTTATATATGGTTTTGAGTGTCCTTTAGTGTGAACTGAGATGAACTGAGGTCTATTTTTCCCCTCTCATTGTTGCTACCTTTAGGGCCATGTTGACCCAAGAACGCTCCACCAGAGCATCGCATCGCCAGGGCGGGGAAAGTCCATTGGTCCTCCAAATTCAAACGACTTTCGGAGAACGCGCAGGACTTTGTGAAGGCGCGGCTTCCGCCTTTTTTTCGGTCCCAGCAGGCTGGCTTTCAATGGTTTTTCCCTGGATGTTCAAGCCTTGGCTGAAGTTTAGTTGCAGGACTTTCCATTCTTTGGAGTCTTAGAGAAAAACGTGTGTGCGTGTGCTGTTGATTGTCCAACCAAGGGATCGGGAGCGCTACCCATGGGCCTCAGGGTACACAGATAACCTTTACCAGACTTGCGTACATACCGGGCTTGGCACGGTTTTTTTTTCAAAATCTATTTGAATTGATAGCAACTGGCCTACGTGTTGAATCGTGTTGAATTCAGAATGCAAATTATGTTGGCCGTTTTGGTTGATTGGATCTTTGAATTTTTTTTGGTCGAAACAGTCAAATCCTGCTGATGGCTGGCTTATGCTGCTTTAATGTACAAATCAATGTTCTATCTTTGATGAGTAGGTCTGATTTAGCATGATTTACTGTAGAACGATCAACATCTATCCACCAATCTATCCGCATGATTTTGCATGATACGTAGTCTAAATATCGGTTCAACATGTTTCAACGACCCACATCCACCCATTACGAGTCTCGTGGACTCGTAGAAGTCCTCTTTGCTCCATGGAGGCTTTGCTGGTGGTGAATCCCAATGACAGACTAGACGCTCAAGGCGGTGGCTTTTCCCCATGGAGGTGTCCATAAATGGGGGGGTACCCCAATAGCTGGATGGTTTCTCCATGGGAAAACCATGGAAAATTCCCATGGAAAATTGATGATTTAGGGGTAGCCCTATTTTAGGACACCCCCATATGGGTATGGATAGATATATTGTAAGCAGCTCAAGCTGGAAAATGCAGGCTGTCTAGGCGTTGCAGCTGTGAAGAATCGATGTTGATGTATTGATTGATGCTGTCTTCAAGTGAGTATCTTGACATATCTTGACTCGCTAGCCGCTAGTGTTTGAAGTTCCTCAGTTCCTTCGAAGACGCGATCCTGATCGTGTTCGCCCATCCACGTTCCACGAAACTGATCAGGTGAATCTGAGGCAACAGGCAACATAAAATTCTCCAAAATCCCCACGGGAATGGTGAACATTGGGGATGAGTCAAAACCTATGCCATATTCAGGAAATTAAGGGCAGGATGAAGATCCTATAAGATCCTTTTAGCATTTCGCTGGTAACCAGGCGATTCCAAAATCCCGCCCATTGCCAGCTTCCACCTTTGCAGGCGCGCTTGAGCACCCTTGGGTGAAGAGCCTAGGGACCAAAAACGAGGCAGGATGGGATGGGACGAGGACGTGGAGAAAGGGTGAACCAACCAGCCAACCAGCCAGTGACTACAAACAACCATTTCTTCGTGTTGGGATGTGTTGGGTGTATATATATATATCAAATACTTGTAAACAGCAGTAAGCAACCAAGTGATTCCAACAAACATGCAACAATGAAACTATAGCCAGTACTTGGAATTGCTGAAACGGTTGGCCGTTTCAGTTCACTTGTTGACTGTTTCTTGAATTTATTGGTCAACTTTTTCCAAGCAAACCAGGGGCCTTTTTTTTGCATCTGCACTGGTGCAGTCGCCCGCCCTGGACGACGACATCAAGTTGAGCCTGCGAAAGTTTTCGAAGGCCACCGCCTTTCGTCGCGCGGTGCTGTCCATGATGGCTTGGTCGCTGAATGCGGAGGTGGGAAGCGAAAGGGCGAAAGGTGTGGCGAAATTGATGGGGACATACCCCTCATGATAAGGAGATAAGGGCTATGTTAATGCAAAATGGGGACATATATTGAAAAAAGATGAGCAAGCAGTGAGCACCTGATTTTGGGACTCAATGTTCGCACCGAAATGCCCTGATCTGCCCCTTCCATGTCTAGTTCTGTCAAGTTTGAGCACCCCAAAGAGTCCCGAGTTGCCAAGACACAGTTCTCTCCTGCTGAAACAGTACACTCCAAGCAGGATGAATTGAATGTTTAATGATATTTAACTGGTTGGTGGTTTTGAACATTTTTAATTGTTCCATATATTGGGAAGAATCAGCCCAACTGACTGCTATTTTTAAGAGGGGTAGGTCAACCACCAACCAGTTTAATGATATTTACTTTGGACCAGGTTAGACCTTCCATGTTTCAATGGTCAACCCCTGGGGTTTCCTCTCAAGCTTCCCAGCCAATGACGTGCCATGACGGCGAAGGATCGAGCACAGCTGCGCAACGAATTCCTGGCTTTTGACACGCAAAATACGGGGACCATCACCCATCTCCAGGTGAGGCTGCCATGGCAACTGACATTGGAATGGACCTACAAGGTGATGGCTGAATCCAAAAAAAGAAGCTACCCAGTCAATGAGAATTAATGTATATAAATGGTATAAATGTCATTTAAAGAACATGAAAGATGTATCGAGATGTGAGATGATGGCTGATTTATCTACACAGTATATTATCACAGACGAGAGATGGCTGAAGTATCTACCGCATGTAATAAGCGGTGGCTTCTGTTTCAGGCCCTTGCAGGTTTGAAAGGTTATGTATCCATCTTTTGAAAGATGCCATGCTCTTGGCTTTTCTGGTAATTCATGTTGTTCGGTGAATTCAAGACATCTTAGGAAGGACTTTGTGAACGCGTTCAAAGGATTCCTTCACATGTTCGGAAGCAAATCCCCCAGGACATACAGGGTGAGGCCCCCCAAGTTGGTTTGTGAACCCATTAAATATAGCGATATTTCCGGTCCACCCAAGTTAAGCGAGTTGTAAGACAACTTACAGTAGCTATCTACGAGGCCTCACCTTGTACCCTCCGGAAATTTAGCGCAGCCGTGGAAAACGGTCCATTTAGTTAAAAGATGGATGTGGGTCAAAATGGAAGACCTAGGGGACCACAGATGTTAGTCTAGTTTAGTATTGACCATCCATAATTTTGGGGTACCTAATTTTGACCCATATCCAGATCTAGCTATTAAAAATGGCGATGATCTATGATGATCTATTAAATTCCAGTCCATCCATTTCCATCCATTTCCATCCATTTCCATTCAACCATGCCATGCATTTCCTCCTCCACTCAGATGAAAGAGATCTTGGAGAAGTATTACCACATTGACTCCATGGAAGCTGAGGCGCGAAAGTGCCTGGTCAATGGTGATAAAAAACGACTAGAAATTGAGATTTCATGGAATATTCATGGGGATATAAAGGAACGTGTACTATAACCATTACAAATTGGGATTTAATGTGTGATATATATATATATGTATATATTTGATATTTAAAAGTTGGGGATATAATGGAATATATGATATATTATATAATGGTTAATACAGTATATAACCAAGTTAATATGTTTTGGGTGTGTCCGAAAGTGGGGGACCCCCAAATCTACAGCATTATGGGGAAAATGATGATAAGCCACTGGATCAGACAATCCCATTTAAATGGTTTACCACACATTTGAATGGGAAGGGGTCAAGACTGAAGGGCCAGGGACCATCCCTAACATCGCCAGAAATGGGAGTGAAATCATCTCCAAATGGTAGGTTTGACCGTTTCTGATCCATACATATCCATACAGCTACAATGTGGGGCCCCCCCAGTTATAAGTTGGCTTATAAACCCGATTAACTATAGTTGTAAGTACCATAAACCATAGTTATTGGAGTTATAAACCAACTTAGCTATCTTGGCGGCCCCACATTGTACCCTTTGGATAATCTTGACCCCCCATTGTGTCCGATGACACAACCCATGACACACCTAGTTCGGTGTTCCTTTGATTTTCCCAGCTCGCCATGTTGGATTTCGGCAGGCGATGTTCAACAGCATGGACACGGACCACGATGACGTCATTGCGTACAGCGAGTTTCTGGCGGCTGCCCTTCAGGAGGGACCACAGATTCGCTGTCAAAACATCCAGTCGCATCAGGTCTTCGCAACGGGATTGTGTTGATGGTGTTTGATGGTGGAATTATACATAACAGGAAAAATGGTGCGCTTGGAATATGAAAAAGAATAGGTATTCTATTGGAATTGTATTCTATTCTATTCTACACTTGTATAACTCTGCACTGTGTTTGCTTGAATCCCTGCGTCAATCCTAAGCCATACGTCGTACGCAAAGTTATCTGGTGGAAAATCCAATGAACGTGTTGGGAGTGAAGTGCTGGTTCTGCCTGCGTTTTGGAGCGTGACAGCTTACTGCTTTCAGCTAAAAAGAATACTTTCAAAAGACTTAGAAACAGACATGCACAGTACAGATTGCTCTTTATGAAGAGTGGAAGCGAAAAGGAAAAGCAAGCCTTTCTGTGCGCAAAAAATAAGTACATACGTTTAATTAGTTTAATTGGGTGCATACCTGAAATTGAGGACCGCCTCGACCTCGACCACCAAAATTGATCAGGTTTTAATATATTATATATATATATATTATCTTATATGATCTTATATCACATAATTATTATCTTATAATATATATTGTCTTATAGTATGAACTAAATTTTGGCAGTTTAATCACATATTTCATTATAGTATGAACTTGTATTTCATCAAAAGCCCATCATTTGAGTCTCCACTCCTGGCCAGGGCCGTATCAAAGTCCACGAGGACGCTGACCATCTGACAGATCTGAAGTCTGATGTCACCATGTCACCAAAAACTGCTGGGTTTTTTAGAGGGTAACATAGGGTAAGTATCCCCAGATATGGCGGAACTGTTCGATTGTATTTCAGTTGGCTATATCTTGATGTTTGTTTTCTGTGTGATTTTCCGGCCCAAAATCAGGGGCTTCAAAGGATAAGCATCCTATTTGTTCGCAAACAAAGACATGGTGGTATATGGTGGTGTTTTCATAAATGGGGTATTCAAAAATTGTTGGTTTATAGTTTATAGTGGAAAATCCCTAGAAAAAATGGATGATTTAGGGGTAGCCTCATTTCAGGAAACCACCATATAAGGCCCAAGATGAATTTCACCCCAACAGGACGTGCTGCGGCGGACCTTCCGGAAATTCGACGTGGACAACTGCGGTCGCATCACTGTGGCCTCGGCTGGTAGTTACATGTGGGCATGTCACATCATTTCACCCAAGTTAATGGTTACGATTTCCCAGTCAGATCCAACTGCAAATCAACTGGAAACCCCTAATGTGTTTGATTTAGATCCCCTTTTTGAAAAGGTTGGGTTGATTGTAAAAATCACATGTTTTTATGTTTCTTGGGAGGACTTGGGAGGTGGAGTTGGTTGCTCCACAGGCGGCATGGGATTCCCATGACAAGAATCAAACATCGAGTAGGAATAGAAGAAAAAGAAACATCATCTGGTTGGTGGTTTGGAATATTTTTGATTTTTCCCATCATATTGGGAAGTTCATCATCCCCACTGACGAAGTCATATTTTTCAGAGGGGTAGGTATACCACCAACCAGGCATGAAACATGGCCCATGGATATTCCCCAGCTTTCCCAGGTTCCAATAGTCCTCAGATTTGCCATGAATTTTCATGTCAGAATTACCCTCTGGTTATGTCAAAATAGCTAATTATTGAAAATGGCCATTTATAGTTGATTTTCCCATTAAGATGGTGATTTTCCATAGTTATGTTAGTTTACCCGAGGGTACATAAATCGATTCATGACAAATTCCCAGGTACTTCCATGGCTCACTTAACTGGCATGAAAAACATCACCGCGCCCGAGGCCGAAGATTTGCAAGGCATCCTGGGTGAACACTTCGAAGGAACCGACGCCAAGGAGCTGATCAAAGAGGCCAGCCCGTCCCAAGAGATTTCATGATGCAATCTGGGAATCAAGATATACAGAATCATATAGACCAGGATATAAATCAAAGTAACCAAACAGATCTATATGGAGTTTTTCATATGTTTTATTTATACAGATTTATAGGTACTCGTAGGATATTCTACGATATTCTATATATCTTTTTCGGGGGCTACTATAATTATATATTAAAATAGTTCCTTTTAGGCCTCCAAACTGGCCAGACTACAAGGACGTCAAACGATCTCAGCATAAGTGGTGCTGTAGTAAGAGAAGGGACCAAGAATATCTGCCAGAATTGACGTTTGG